AGGAACGGGCTGGACTGAATGGCCCTTTCACGGGGCAGTGGGAGGCGAGCCGATTGGCTGGGATCCCCTGTCTCCCTCTCTGCCCGGTGTAGGGCCCCCGCTGCCCGTCTCCTTTTGCTGTTTACCCAGAGCTGGCAAGTAGAGGCATGTGGCTCTAGGCAACTCCTCCCCAGGTGCCTGCTACCTTGGACAGCGGGGGCACTCCACCTGCCAAGCTCCTCCACTCCATCTTCGCAGGGGCGCCTCCACCCTCCCCTGCTCTGCCAGAGTTCTCCCTCCCTCACTTTGCTGTTTCCCCCTCTTTGGAGGTGCTCCTGCCTTCATTCCTCTGCCCAGAGCACTCAGCTTCCTGAAGGGACATGCGGTGCCTGGCGCTCTCCTGAGTGAACTTCGTACCGAGTGTCCTCAAAGTCTCAGTGCGGATTTAGTCTTGGATTCTTTAGCAGAAAGAATGTAAACTGGCAAACATCACTTGAAGGTTTAAATGATTTCTGTTACACTGAAATGACCCCTTTTGCTTGCAAGTCAAAAAAACAGACAAATTAAATAATGAAATTCTGAAGCATATAGCACTCATGTTTCTGAAGTTACCACAGTTTGGAGCTGCACGAAGACTTTTGGGACACGCGGCATTAACGTGCTTAATTCTCACACTCGCCCTATGCAGCGGGGGCCATTATTGTGCTCACTTGCAACACCCACCAGCGATGGGGGAGGTGATGTGGATTTCTCCAAGGTCACATTGTGAGCAGTGGCAGAACTGGATGGGGATCTATGCTCTGTCCCCTAACAGCCCCCCTGAAGCCAGCCTTACCCCTGCAGCCCCCTATGTCACACTTCCCTGGCCTCTCCCTGAGCTGCACAGGGTAAGACCTGTGGCACGGGGTCTGGGGCAGGGGGAATGCAGGCGTCCACTGTCTAGGCAGCAGCGTGGCAGGTACAGGCTCCCGCAGGAGCGGCCCTTTGAGTTTCCACTGCCGGCAAACGAGAGCGAAGCCAAGTGCAACCTGAGTGCCAGTACAATTCTGATCAGCCAGGAGATGGTCCAAGAGGCCTCCATTTCACCTGTAGTGCCAAGCTCCCAAGTGCCCCCTGGGCAGCCAGGGCCCTCGGCCCAAGGCCTGGTTATGGACATGACCTCCAGCCTTCTGCCCCTCCTGCAGCTTGGCCCACTCCCCAGTGTACCCAGGCTAGATGAGTCAGGGGTTGAAATGAGCCCTATCTCCCTGGGGCAGCCAACCCCCTTGCGTCAGCTACTGTCATTTCCTGTTGCTCACGTGAAGGGCTCCCTAACCTGCCCAGCCGGGGGAGGGACTTGTTCCCCAGGAATCCCAGGCACTCCTGGCCCCCAGGGTAGGGGATGGGTAATGCCCCACGTCCCAGCAGCCTTCATGTCCCCTCTCTGCCCAGCTCCACTCTGCTATCTGGGGTGAAGTGCCCTTGCCACTGCCTGGGTAGAGAGCCCCTAGCTGGGCTTCTGAGGTGTGCCTCAACAGAGTTCAGGCCTTCCCTTCCTACCCAGCTCTCCAGGACAGGTGAGTGGGGAGTTCCAGCCAGTCTTACCAGGTGCTTGGGAACCTCCACAGTGCTGACCTCAGAGCTTCCCAAAGCCACTTGCTAACACCATCGGAATGAGGCACCACTGATGTGCTGGCCTTGAAAGGTAAAGAGGGCGAAGAGAGGGGCGCCTGGGTGGCTCAGTCGGTTGAGCATCCGACTTCAGCTCAGAGTTCGTGGGTTCGAGCCCCGCGTCGGGCTCTGTGCTGACAGCTAGCTCAGAGCCTGGAGCCTGTTTCGGATTCTGTGTCTCCCTCTCTCTCTGACCCTCATCTGCTCATGCTGTCTTTTCTCAGAAATAAATAAAAAACATTAAAAAAAGAAGAAGAAGGCTGAGAGAGGGGTCCTGTCTCCCTTCATCTACACTCTCTGACCCTTAACTCCTATCTGCTTGGGCACTGTCTGGGCACAGGCATCAGCTCCTAGGTCAAGGTTCTGTTCTGGTAGATGTGATAGATTCAGAGAGGGTGGAGGACTGGGGTGGGGGCTACTTGTGCTCGCATGTTCCAGGAGCTCTGTGTACGCCTCTCAGTGCCCAGCAGCCTCAGTCTGGCCCCCCCCTTTCCCTCCAGCCTGTCACTAGTAGCTCCGTCTCTGTGGCTTACACCCAAGGACCCACCAGTTCAGTGCCTAATCCTCTTGGCATGCCTTGGATGGGGGTCAGTCAAGGGAATTTGGGTCCATCTCAGTTTCTCTTGCTCCTCGTAGTTGCCCAAGGGCTGGGAGAGGGGTGAAGGGGTGAGAGAGATTGGATATTAGGGCAAGAATCCTGACTGGTGGAGAAGGGGGGTGGGCCCAGGGTAGTATCTCTATAGCATGCTTCTTGATTTAGGGTTGGGAGGGGGTAGGTATCTCTACACTTCCAAGAAAAGGCAAAGGAGTGGGCCCTCAGGCAGTACTGGTGTCCTTAAATTCTCTTTCCGAATCGCCTCTGTCCTGAGCTCTTCTGGTGCTCCCTCCCCAGGGGAGAGTCCCAGTCTCCCTGCTTTTCCTCCAGGGCTTATCTTTCTTCTGTCCTCACTGCCTCCTCTGCCTCTGCCTGCCTCCTCTGAGCCTTCACCTTCAGTCTTGCCGACAGCAGCCTCCGGGCCCCATTGGGCAGCCCATCACATGCTCCCCCAAACACCCAGGGCTGTCTGGACAGCGGCCTCGCGAAGCTCACATAGTACAGCGGCAGCTACTGACCTGTGTCCGGGGGCACTGGACAGGATCTGGGGGCTTCTCCTTCCCCAGCAAGGCAGGGAGAGCAGTGGAGAGCCGCGAGGCTGGAGTGTGACTGGGGCTGGGTAATCCGGAGCTCAGGTTACCGTCTCCGATATATATAGTATCTTATCTGACCTCACAGAGATGGCTAGCTCAACTCACTTGCATTCCACGGCCCGAGAATTAAAGGGGCAGTGGCAAGCCCTCCCTTGAGGGCTCTCTGAAGGGGGAGGGGGCATTTTGAAATGGACAGAAGGGGGACCCAGGGGAAACAGAACTGGAAAGAGGGTAGAGGGATGTTGGGGAGAGGGGAGTGGAGGCAAGGCTATGGAGAAGGAGGTGTCCTTCACAGAATGAGAGGAGATTGAAGCCTCTCATTTACAAGTGCTACTCCCTATCCTCCCTTTACAAGTGGAGTAGATCCAGAGGTCCAGGGCCCACAGGTAGTGAGAGGCGGGCGGGACCTGCTCTCAGGTCTTCAGTCCAAACTCTTATAATGGGCTTCTAGGCCTGGGCTTATATTCCAGCTCATTCCCTTTGATTGGCTCTGAGACCGTGGGCAAGGCACGTTAAGCTGTCAGAACCTTAGGGAGTTAATCTGTAAAACAGGAGTGAAAAGGATAATAGTTCTATACCTCACAATTATGAGGATTAAATAGAATAATATTTGCAAGTTTTCCTGGCCCATGGTTAAGAGGGCAATGGACGATAATAATGGTTATGCTGACTACTTCCACTTATTGTTATAGTTAGTGGCGGTATGCATCGGAGCACCTACAAGGGAGACCTTCCTCGGGAGAACAGGGCCTCCGGGCTACCCGTTGGGAGTGCTCTGTTCTAATGCCAGACGACAGCTCCCTGGGTTTCTGACCTGGTCCATGTCCCGTAACTGGCGAGGGCAAATGACTCTTGCTGTATTCCCAGATGTCCAGCCCATCCAACCCAGAAGGTCCAGGCCTGTTTCGGCTCCTTCCCCCTTTGCCTAGAAGAATAGAGCAAGTGCCGCTGCCCCCAGGCTACCAGGAGAAAGCTGCTCTGGGGGTGGCTCCACTCTACCTGTAGGAGTGCTCAGGATTCCTAGGCCACAGAGCTGGGCTGGGCAGGCTCACAGGAGGAGGGAGCAGGATTCTTAACCTCTTGGGCCTTGGTGCTCTTGTGGGCTCCCAGTCGGTGTCTCCTGTTCCCCGGTGGCTCTCCCTGAGGACTGGGAGTACCCAGGATGGCGCCTCCACCCTGTCTCAGCCGAGGCTACTGACTCAGCTTGGGTCTCGGTCATGCACATCAGAGGACGCCCTCGTCCCTGGCCCTCATTCCAGTCCTCATTCCGACTCCAGTTTGGTATGCATCTACAGTATCAAAGGAGTGGGGGATGCCCCAACCCCAGCCCAGCCAGCTCTCTTTTCCTCCACTTTACGGGGCTGGGCTTGGGGGACCTTCTTATGCTGGTGCCTTGGGAAGGTGAACATCACCACCATCTTCAGCTCAGCCCCTTCTAAAAGGCAGATCAGGAGGTAGGTGTTCATTCCTCACAGGACGGCTAAAATGGGTTGGCCTGGGCTTCCCTTGGCTGTTAAGTAGAAGTTACTTACCTTGGAGCACCGCGTGCCTGCTTCTGGTTTGGGATTGGTGAGAATTTCAAAGATGCCTCTCTCTGGTTTGGGATTGGTGGAAAATCTCCCCTTCCACTTAACTGCTGCCCTCCCCCCACCCCCACCCCTTCTTCGAACTGACCAGAGACAGCTGTAACAGGGTGGAGTAAGTGGGGAGGGGGCTGGCCGTGTCCAGGCGTCACTCTCAGGCCATATACCACACAGGGCACAGAGACCTGGACCTGCCCAAGCAGCATTTCCGGAGAACACACTGATCAGCACACAGATGGCTCTTCCTGGCACCCCGGGTCTGTCAGCTGGCAGGCACTCCCCCCCGCCCCCCAAATGGCACCCACAGCTGGAGCTCCTCCGCACAGCTGGCACTCGCCCTACATTTCTGGTGCCCATTCTACCCAGGCTGTCGTTGACACCTCACTTTCTGAACCTCCAACGGCGCTGACCTCCGCATCCCTCCTCCCCAGTCTCCGACAGGTGGCACGTACCTGCCTCTTCTCCGAGGGTGGACGAGTCGAACCGGGCACAAGCATGGAGCTGCGGGTGAGTCCCGGCTGGTACTGGCGCGGCGCAGTGAGCAGCGGCTGACGCAGAGGTCTCCCTGGCCTCGGCTCCTGCCCGCCTCTCCCCCACCTCCGCCGGGGGCCCAGAAAGGACCTCCCCGGGAAATCGGCGCCACCCAGCGGGCAGCTGCCTCATTGCGCCCGGCCCGCAAAGCCACACCGCGCGTCTCACGTCACTGAGACGCGTCAAGGCCATTGGCTTGTTCCTGTTGTGACGTCATGAGGGCCCCGCCCGGCCGGGGTCTCCTAGGCGACCGGTATATACAGAGGAGCACGTGGAGGCAAAGCACGCGAGTTTGGAGGGGGTGGAGCCCGACCAGAAGCGGACAGGTAATGGGGCAAGACGGGACTCAGCGGGAAGGTGTTTGGGGCGAGGAGGGGTTCCCGGGAGAAGGCCCAGCATGTGAGCCCCCGGGTACAGATATCAACTTTCAGGTTTGAGAGAAGACTAAATGTTCCCGCCCCTTCCCACCTGTGTGAGAGAGGGCCTGTTTTGGCTCTCCTAGTTTTCTCTCCTCTCCTCTTTCTCCACCTCTCTCGCTGCTCATTTTACTAACATGAGACCAGTGATTGGTGATGAGTCTCTGAGTGGGTGAACTGGGGCACTGAGTTAGTGGAAGGGGGAGTTTTTGTTTGTTTTGAGTTTTTTCAGGAAAAAGCTGAGACAGCTTTGCAGCTCCCATTTGTTGTGTATCCTGTGGTGGTGAAGAAAATCACACAGCCAGGTAGATTGGCACCCAGGCAAATCCAGGTTTTCAGTCTTTCCAAGTGGCTGGCATTTCCATCATGGTTCTCCTCCAGCCCCTCCGTGTCTAATATTCCCCAGAGAAACTAGAGCCAACCAGAAGGGAAATACTTAAACTTCCGCCTACAAACATAATTGAATCCTTTCTTACCTCCGCTCCAGGGCAGTGAAGGAGGCTTCCCTCTTCTTCTCCTTGATGAATCCCTCTGATCTCAATTCTTTATACTCCTTTGGGGCCCTCCTTCCATCATGTTTTATGGATAGCTGTTGGATGTGCCAGGTACTCTTCAAGGCACAGAGGATTCTGGAGTGAACAAAACAGGCAGAAGCTTTGCCTTCAGGGAGCTTATATTCTAGTAGAAACAAAAGACAAGAACCAAATAAGTGAAATATGTCATATGTTAGATGGCAGTAGGAGCTATGGAGGGAAATAAAACAGAGGGAGATAGGCAGTGTGTAAGGTGTCGTCAGAGATGGCCTCAATGAGAAGGTGACGTTTGACCTGAAGGAGGTGAGGGAGTGAACCATGTGACGATCTAAGGAAAGAATGTTCTAGGAAGAGGGGAACTACAGATGCAAAAGTCAGGAGGTAGAAACACAGTTGCCATTTTTGTGGCAGAACAAGGAGATCAGCGTAGCTGGAGTGAAGACAGAGCAGGGGAGATGCGGTCAATGAAGGAAGGCAGGGATTGTCCCATGTAGGGCCCTAAGGCCATTTTCATGGACTTCAACTTTTACTCTGAGATGGGAGCCATTGGAAGATTTTGAGCGGAGGATGGACATGGTTCTGACTTAAAATTTTTTTTAAAATTTATGATGAGGGAGAGGGAGAGGGAGAGACAGAGTCCCAAGCAGGCTCTGTCAGATGCTTAACTGACCAAGCCACCCAGCCACCCCTGATTTGCTTTTTGTTTTATTTAAAAAAATTTTTTTTGGATGTTTATTTGTGTGAGTGTGTGTGTGAGAGAGAGAGACAGCGTGAGCAGGGGAGGGTCAGAGAGAGAGGGAGACACAGAATCTGAAGCAGGCTCCAGGCTCTGAGCTAGCTGTCAGCACAGAGCCCGACTAAGGGCTCGAACCCACGAACTGTGAGATCATGACCTGAGCCAAAGTTGGACGCTTAACTGACTGAGCCCCACCCAGGCGTCCCTGCTTTTTGTTTTAACAGAATCCTTTCAGCTGATGTGTAAGAACACACCTGAAAAGAGCCGGGGTAGAAGCAGGAGACCATTTAGGCGTCACTCAAATTATCTGCTGAGAGATGACGGTGTTAGTGTGGTAGGAAGCGGGAGGGTGGGGAAGTGCAGTTGGATTCTGGATGTACTTGGAATGGTAGAGCCGATAAGGTTTTCTGATGGATGAGGTGGTGTGAGAGAAAGGGATGAATTTTTGGCTTGAACATTAACTGAGAAGGTGGGTTTGGGGAGGGCAGGAGCTTGGTTTAATAATATTACATTTGAGATGTCTGTTAGGTGTGTCAAGATGTCAAGAAAGCGGTTGGATATGCAAGTTTGGCAAGGTCTCTGTTGCCATGTAGAATTGAGAGTTGTCAGCATGTGTCTGTTATTTAAAGACGCAGGATTAGGGGAGGTAACCGATGGAGCAAATAGAAATAAAAGAGACGTGCAAAGACTGAATCCTGGAGCTCTATAACATTAAATAGCTTTAGAAACGAGTAGGAGCCATCAGAGACTTAGGGGTGGCTAGTGAAGTAGAGAAGGAAAAAAAAAATCCGAGACATGGTGATATGCTAAGCCAAGAGAAGGAAACTTACCAAGGAGTAGAGCAAGATCATTTGTGTCAAATGCTGCTAATGGATTAAGTGACACAAGTGTGGAAATTGATTTAGAAGGCTCTTGGTGACCTTGACAAGAGCAGTTTTGGTGGAGTGGTGGAGTGAAAATCTATTAATGGGCTCAAGGAAGGACGGGGTACAGTGTAGGAAACTCTTTGAGGAGTTTTGCTGTAAAGGAAGGTGGGTGGGAAGTAAAGGGAGAAGTGAGGTCAAGAAAAATTTTTATTTTTATTATTGATTTTGAGAGAGAGAGAGAGAACGAGCAGGGGAGGGGTGGAGAGAGAGAGCAAATCCCAAGCAGTCTCTGTGCTATCAGTGCAGAGCTCGACTTAGAGCTCAGTTCCACGAACCGCGAGATCATGACATGAGGAAACCTCCCCAACCTGGGCATTAAGATCTCCTATGTGTAGTCCCAGTGCGTCTGTTTAGTTAACTAATTACTGGACCTCTTGCAAATTTGGTCCCTTTTACCATTTCCTCCTTGGAGCTCTTTTCTCCTTTAGGTTGTATGATACAAGGCTTTTATGGTTTTCCTCCTGACAGCTCCTTCCTCCTCTTTATTTCTAGTAGCTCTTATAGCATGGTGGTCGTTCTGATTCCTCTGGTTACTAGCTCTGAGTCCTGAGGCATTCGTATCTGTTTCCTCATGTGTAAACAAATGAGGATAGTGGTAGTTCCCGCCCTGTGGAGTTGACCTGAGGATTAAATAAGTTAATATGCAGGAAGAAATAATTACAGCAATGCCTGGCACATGAGATCACTCTGCTCTGCTACTCATCCATCAGCTGCTACTTGTATGGACTGATGGTGCCAAAACCTGTAGCTTCAGGTAGACCTCCCTCCTGAGCCCCGGCCAGGGTTATCCAGCTGCCTCCTGACGTGCCCTTAGACGCCCGTCACCATCTCACCCTCAACGTGTCCAAACCTTGAACCCCTCATTCTCCACTTAGTTTTCTCCCATTCCTTTCTTGCCATCTGTGAATGGCACACTCGGCCATCCAATTTCCTAGTCAGAAGTTTGCCAGTTTCCAACTTCTCCCCTCACTTAATTCTTTAAATTATTTTTTAAATGTTTATTTTTGAGAGAGAGAGAGAGAAGGAAAGAGAGAGAGAGAGGAGAGAGAATGAGCGGGGGAGGAGCAGAGAGAGTGAGAGGGAGACACAGAATCCAAAGCAGGCTTCGGGCTCCGAGTTGTCGGCACAGAGCCCGACTCAAACTGTGAGATCATGATGGAAGTCGTCACATCTGAAGTCGGACACTTAACTGGCTGAGCCACTCAGGTGCCCCTCCCCTCCTTTAACTTTTACCAAAGGATTATTTTAGTCTACAAACTCAGAGACGCAGGAAACATAATATTGTTTTCCTGTAATATATCTACATTTCATTCCTTTCCTTCCTTGTTTTTTTTTTTGTTTTTTTAAAGAAAGAGAGAACATGGGATGGGCAGAAGGAGAGAGGGAGAGAAAATTGTAAGCAAATTCCAGGCCCAGCCCAGAGCCTGAAGACAAGACGCTGGGCTCGATCTCACAACTGTGAGATCATGACCGGAGCTGAAATCAAGAGTCCAATGCTTAACCAACTGAGCCAGCCACCCAGGCGCCCCTGTAATATGCCTACATTTCTGTTTGGAGTGGTGGACACTTAGTTTCAGACAGGTGATGGAATTGCCCCTCCTTTCTCCAGGGAGTGCCTGAACTTCTGCAGAATGTCCCCCATATATTTGCCAGAGCACTAGAGGAAGCGGACCTTGTGATTAAATGGCGAGTCAAGCGTCCATTGAGATGTCTACTGCCCGCTGCCTGCCTGCCTGGCCTCTTGGGGTCTGGTGTCTCTCTGCTACTTCTCAGTCACTCTTGGGTACATAGGAATCATTCTGGGATAGTGAGAGAGAGATGTGACACTGACCAGGGTTCGAGCTGCTTCCAAAGTAGGTTACCATCTGCAGTTATTTCCTCTTTCTGGGACGTGTCTCTTTTCTGAGGCTCTACCCAGGATGTTGGGGTGAAGCCCTACTGTTATCAGATCTCAGAACCTGCTCGGGGGTTTGGCTGTCTGCCGACAGAACCCACCATCTGTGCTTGTCTCTTCCCTCTGGCTCCTGTCTGCTGTGGGTAATGCCGGTGGGAGGCCTGGCTTTACCCGAGCCCTGTTCTCCACAGCTTTTGTCTAGGTTTTGAGTCCTTTCTATTGTATTAAGGGCCCAGGCAACTGAAATCCAAAAGTTGGAAGTGGCTTCCCATTTTTTCCGTCCTGCTTTTTGCTGTCTCATCCCTTTATGGAAGCATAAGCACAAAACCTTGGCTGCTTACAGTGGGACTATTTGGAGAAAAGGAAGCAAGTGAAAATCCTATTTAGAAGTATTATCTTGCCATGTTTCTTACATCTGCTGGGATTGTATCTTTAAAAAAAATTTTTTTTTAATGTTTTATCTATTTCTGAGAGAGAGAGAGAGAGACAGCGTAAGCAAGGGAGGGTCAGAGAGAGAGGCAGCGTGAGTAGGGGAGGGTCAGAGAGAGAGAGGGAGACACAGAATCCAAGCAGGCTCCAGGCTCTGAGCTGTCAGCACAGAGCCTGATGCAGAACTTGAACCCATGAACCGTGAGATCATGACCTGAGCTGAAGTTGGACGCTTAACCGACTGAGCCACCCAGATGCCCCAGGCATCGTGTCTTTTTGATTTTCTGTCATTTGTTCCCCTAAGTTTCCCCCCCTCCATGTCCATTGCTTCTGTCCTCTTTTGGAGTTTTATTCTCTTTCTCCTGTCTCGGGCAATATTTTCCTCCCCAGCC